GTTTGCTTATCGCTAAGTATCATTTTTACTATTTTCTGACTGATCAGCCTCGTGGTATGAGTAGGTACTGCAGACGTGTATAAAACGCAAAGTATATTGTCACCATGTTTCACAGCATGACATTTATGATATTCCGAACACAAATACGTTTCCTTCGCTCCAATAAATTTCCAGGTACTCGCGGTTACTCTCTCGTCGTTGCTCTCTTCGTGCTCGCGCGAGAGCGCGAACGTTTCGACCGCTTGATGATAAAACGTTCGCAAAATATCTAATCTATGCGATCCTGTCACGCGATTTTTCGCGCATTGCGAGTTTCTGCCAAGCACGAATTTTTCCGTCTTGTAATTTGCTAGTAGAAAGCTGAAATATTCATAGAATGTTAGAATAATATCAATCAATCATATAAAATATTTGTAATGATAAATAACTTTTTTTTTATTTTGATTACCCGAGTGTTTCACTATCTAAAGAGACCGACGTAGGTAAGTTTCGCGGATAACACTGTTCAACAGTGCATAATGTGTCCATATTGCTCTTCCAGCATTGCACAGCAAATCTCTCAATTTCTGTTAATTCTGGATTTGGTCCACATAACGCCAGAACTTCTACATGATTAATTAGAGTCACAGACACCAATCTGAAAGCTACCTAAACAGAATATTGTAAATTGAAGTTATTAAAATTATACATTTCACACTTGTCAATTTATTTTTTAATTTCAGAAAATTAAATACACGCATATCTTTGCAAAAATACTTACGTTCGGACTTTTACGTGGTAGAAACACTGGAATGTCTCGTGTGGTACAAATACTCTCTGAAGCGATCGCTATCGTTAATAACTTTCTTTCCACAGGGTCCAGTGACCACCAGCCTTCCGTAGCAGCCGCCACGCAACCATGCACCAGAACACATCCGTACATCGAGTCCAAACATTCCATAAATCCCTCTAAACAGGTCTTGAATGCATATTCATTGAGTATCACATGTAATTTCATGCAGCATTTATATAAGAAAATTTCAGGTACCTGAAGCAAATGACTCTCTGAGGATATGATGCATTCCGTCATGTTGATCATATCGGTTTTCGTAGAAATTTTGTCCCCTATGTTCAAGCAGTCCATTAATCTGTCGATAATAGGACTGCATAGACGCATATCCTTCTTGAGCCTCTCTATATTTTTAGTATTCTTTATCTCATCGATGCCGGTGAAGAGAATCATTGCGCCAAAGGTGGCGTCCAAAAACTTGTCCAGCACATATTTCGTTACTCCGCTCGCGATTGCTATCAGTATGATGCACTGCTCGAATTCTTTCCACGCCACCGTCACGTCCGGCAAATCCGTGCTCAGGAGAGTGATGTCGTGTGATTTCAAGAACATGTGAACTCCATTGAGGGACGCAATTTTCGAGAAAGTCATCTGCAAACAATTATCAATTTTAAAATATCTGATTTCTGTGCAGCAAGACATTACATGTATTTTTTGTAAACATGTTTAATTTAAAATGCTGCAAATCCATTTGATTCTCTATGTGCTTACCGTGTCGCTGTCTCCCTTCTGGCGTGAAAACAGAGGAATCCCTCCGGAAGAGGTCAAGCACATAACGTGCGCCGACATTCTCGTTCAGATTCGAAATTGCGTTTAGAACTTGTGATGTTACTGTTATATGTCTTCGAGCGCTTCAAGATTGTACAAAGGCAGATGTGGTTTAAGTTTAGACTTAAAAATCAATACTCCGTGCCTTGATTGATCACGTGGGAAGTTGTTGTCAACATATTTTGCACAATTGATCGGTGCTGTTCACAACATTCTACAATATTTTTACAAAAGGCAAATTACAAAACAGATTTGTACTTGGCAGGAAATCTCAGTGTACAAAAAATCGTGTGACAAGATGTATACATATTGATATCACGGAGAATTTCCACATGACATCACTCAGAGTACAGTTTGACAATTAGTCAGCTGTTTGACGAAAGATTAATTTTTTCCATAGTTTAGAAAGATTCAAGTTGAATTCGCCTTTAATCACCTATTAGATATTGAGC